TAGACAGATAAGAAAATTACAACTGAGTTTCTTTAAAAAAAATTCCATGATTTAACATATAATCTTACAATTGTTACACCATTTTCGAATCTTTATTAACCAACTTTTAAAGTTACTCGTCAAAATCATGTAGTAAATTTTTTTAGTACAGTTATTTAAAACTGGGCAAAGTATTAATTTTCCTTGATTGGGAAAAAATTACATACATTACCTGCAAATTTTAAACGACAGTTTTCAGAAGCATCAATAAAAAAATACATTTAAAATTTGTAGCAACAGGAGTTAAAAGACCGTTACAAGATGGGGATTTTGTCGATTTTTTATAAATGCCTGTAATTTATAAAATACTAAGCAAAAATTATTTTTATATTTTTCTGTTAACTATTATGACCTGATCTATCAATCCATTCCGGCTTGACATCGACATATGGGACAGCCTGTATATGTTCAATATACAGTATACGTAAATGTAACTAATATATATTGTATATGTAAATCACCCGTGCGAAGCCGGGGCGGATCGCTAGTGGGATATAAGTCGTATTTACGTGTAAAATAAAAGTATTTTAAAGAAAAGTAGCTATATGTATAAAGATTGGTTTATTAACATATATTGTAATTTCGTTGATGTTTTGCATTAAGATAATGTTTTACTTCAGATAGCAGTAGTATAATATATCCCTGAGTATTTTTTATTTTACATATTAAATAAGGTACATGAGGGTAATATGGTCAGCTCAAAGTAATATATATTTTTAGGTGACCTATAAAACCAAAACTAGGAGGAGGGCAGATACAAAAACATAAAGTCGTGTACTATAATTAATCCATTTCCTCCCTAACAAAAAAAAATTCATATAAAAACACCGAGATAATTTTATAATATTTGTAATGTATATGTTATTCATGTCAATATATTACTTAAAATTAAATCACAAAACAACTTATAAACTCTACTTCAAACAATCAAATAAAAACTATTGTAGTACATTTTCGCCCTATGTAGGCGCATCTATAAAATGCCGGTTGGATCTAACGACTAGTTGAAATTGAGGGTATATCGAGAAACCCTCCCACTCGTATGTGCAGTATAAAGTTCAGTGTAGGGGCAGAGCGCGAGAGATTCCGCTTCGTTTCACACGAGTGAAGTCATTCTACGCGTGCTATAAGATAGTCGTTGTTCTGTCCATTGTGGTGATTCTTCTAATGCAGACAAGTAGGATGGTGTTGCTGAGAAGCTGTGCTGTGTTACGTTGAGATGGGTAAGGTTGCTGTTGGTTTGCATAATCTGGTGCTATCATGTAGTTGTGTCCTTCACATTGCACTGGTGTGTAATTGTGATGGGGACATACTGCGGTATGGTCAAACTGTAATTACTCAATGCTGAATGTATAGTGCGTTACGCTGTCCTATTATTGATAATGATAAATTGCGCAAGCAAGAGAGCAAGTTGAACAACAGTTCTCACACTTTTACCATTTTTAATAATTAACGCTATCATGTTATTTCCCACACAATTGGATTATCGTGTTGTACTTTCCGACAAATATATCAGTAAAAAAAATTGTAAACAAGCTTTGGCAATAATTAGGAACACTTCGAAAAATCAACTTAATTAAACTACATTACGCCGTACTAAAATCAATTAAAATATTTACTATAATGTCAACTGTCAAAATGGCGTCGATAAAGCAGCGCCCTTTTGACCCTTTATTATTTGATTGACTGATGAAGAGCTGTCGAATCATATAGCTTTCTATGCAAATAAGACTGTAGTTTTTGAGTTATAAGAAAGTGACCTACTAACCGCCACCAAAAAAAGGATGACCAGATTACCCCCCCCCCAAAACCACCAACCCCCCCCCCCCCCCCCCCACCACCTCCCCACACCCCCCCCCCCCCCCCAAAGGAAAAACCCCACCCCCCGGGGGTGGAAAAAGAGGGGGGGGGGGCCAAACCCCCCCCCCCCCCCCCCCCCCCCCGGGCCCCCCGGCCCGGGCCCCCCCCCCCCCCCCCTTCCTCACGTACTATATATAATACGTTCAGCTATATATTTTTATATATTTTTTCTTAACTTTTTTAAGATCCATAGATTCGCTATTCCTATATTTATTTAGCAAATTAATCGACTGTGTTACCGTCAATTGTAATTATTGCCTCACCCACATCTCACAATCGTTTGTAATGGGTTACCCGTGAGTTCCGCCGGTACCGTGACGTTAAACGACTAACCAAATTAATTATACTAATCCCTAGCACTTAAACGTTTGATTGAAATAGCCATTTTACTTTTCGTTTCTTATATTTATTAAGATAGGTTAAAGCTAAGGCTATAAGTTTTTCTTTTTGAATCTGCTTTTTCTGACTAAAGAACATTGTTTTTTTTTTCACAAATGTCACAGACCCAGTATTAACAGAGTTAGTATGTCATTCCTACGATTATAACAAATCTGCCTGTTGTATTTTATTTTAAAGTAAGGATGTCAAATGAGCACACAGTTTACCTTTTGGTGAAGGAATATTGTGGAGTAGACACAATTACATCTAGCCTCGATTACGAATCAAAACGCAGATGCGTTGTCAACCCTGAACACTAAGACGGTACACCTAGTGACTAAATGGTTTCTGATTCTTGTCATTCATTATACTAAGCATAGCAATAACAAGCTCCTATTTTGTGATAGCATTCTGTGTGATGGTCCTTTCAGTTCGGGCCGGCCCATTCGTGCTAAAACCATAATGTAGCTGCAGAATGGCTCCATATTGTTAACAAGTATTTAGAATAAATTTTACTAGCTATGAAAACCTACTCGCTTGTACAATTTTACTGTAGTGTCAAGTAGATAGTCTTTTGTCTTCACATACCCAAATTTCGGGTTTCCACCTCTAGATGTCTTGACCGAGTGCTCTCATATTGGCGGTACCTACCTACTGTATATCCACTACCCCATATCGTCCCGTGGGTGTTGCAAGAGGTGACAGTGGGAAACAAACGAAAAAATGGGCAGCAGAATCTTATAACAACTAAAAAATAAGGAACTGTGGTTGTTAACTTGCCTGCCAATCGTGGATATTATAATAAATATCCCCTCTATAAGGAAATCGTTGGGGGAGGCCTATGTTTAGCAATGGACTTTAATAGGCTGAAACGGTAATGTTGACAATCAAAATAGTTTTATATTGCATCCTAGTTTTTTTTTAAAATTATTTTAAAATAAATATTACTGATCGTTTGTTTGCATTACACCGTTTTCTTTCACGCAAAATTATTCTGAATAACTCACGAAAACGCACACTTTATCTGTACCGACCACAATTTCACGTTTTGTACACAAAAGCGACGATTTGTTGTGTTTGCTAGAGCCTCTTCAAACACTTTGGTCGACAGCGGCCGATTGCTTCGCAAATAAAAATAATAAAAAACCTTATACTCTTTAGAACAGTCTGATAAGTTACATATTAAACTGAATGCCTACTGAACTCATTCACTGTAGAGATTTATTTTATTTATTTATTTATTTAACAAGTACACTTACAATAAACATATATGACAATCACGAAAACATACACATTTCTATAATCTCTGATATGTATATCCATAACAAGTGTACATAACATTCACAAATTGAGTCGTGCAATTTTGGGTTAATTTGGAGTACAAATATCATCCGATCAATACTATGCAAATTAGAACTATTCAAATAAATTATGTACTTAAATAAGAAAAATCTAAAGAAAAAAAAACAGGTTTAATTATTAAAAGGGAATGAGGTAGGTATTATACTCTCTTCAGGAGTACGTATATTTTTAATTTAAGTATAAGATTTATTACAGTGGGGCGCACAAGTTTTGCTTAAACTTTAAAGTCTAAAGTACACAGTATTTATCATTCTTAGAAGAATCATCATTTCTGAGAGGAGTTTGAAAGTCCAAAAAACCTTAAATATATATTTAATTTTATACAATTGCAATTATGAATTACATGGTGCCAAAATAAAAAGAACTTACTTACCTATTACTTATTAAATACATTTGTTAATATTACCTACAATGTTAGCAAGGACAAAAAGAGCCATCAAAAGATAGAGTAGTAATAGTACCAGGTTTAGCTGTCTAAGTGACAGTTGCTTGTATCACTGATGCTAAGTTAGTACTACAAAAACGGCTACAGATGCGTTGTCAGTTCTGAGTACTAATATGAAATGCCTCACAGCCTGTAAATATAATGGTTCTCTATAACCCTACAGACTAGAACGCATCAGTTTGACGGCAGAGATAGGTAATATCTTACCAAACGGACTAGGAGACATAAAAGAAGTCCTAGGGTCTAGTAAATTCATGTATGTATATACAAACATTCTAAAAAATATATAACAAACATATCCGTAAACACAACATATATACTACCGCCTACCTACCCCGAACGCTTATCAAAATAAAATACTACTTGATCTCAGTGGAATATCCAATTGTTTTATTTAATTATCACCTTTATAAATAAGGTAACAAAGAGCGACTTAATGCCTAACGGCCTTCTCTTCCAGTCAACCTATGGTATGATGAAATACTGTAGCAAATGTATATATAAATAAAAGTACTGCGATATGCATGTAATACGAGCACACAGTCCACTTGATGGTAATTGGAACCTGTGACCCACAGACATCTACATCTATCTATCTTCGATTAATAATAGAAATGCAGAAGCGTTGTCACCCCTGACGATTAGTATGAAATGCCTCGTTTCCAGTGAAAACGCTCACCGGATCTCTACACTCACCATACGAACACAGCATTAAGCTGCTATTTATGTTGGTATTGAGTGAGGGTGTGATCCTTCTCCGTTCAGAGAGAAGCCGACCCGTTCGTGCTACAACCACTATGTAGCTGTCGTATGGCTTTACCACGTATAAATGTAATTTTTTTATAGAAATATATTACTTTAATTAATTTTGTTGTCCTTACAATTTATATTTAATATATTAATCATATACCATATTATGGTAAACAAATGCTATTCTATTCTCAGAAGTGTGAGACCTGTGACTGTGTTACTATACTCATCTTGTACTATTGGTGTAGGGCGACAGCCCAGGGCCGGAGCGTCGGAACGGCGAGTGCGAGCCGCCGGGTGCGGCCGACATGCCACCCACGCCATCCGCCTCCGCGCCCTCTTCCGCTACCGCTACCGCTCATGAACCTACCAGCGAACGGACTCAACAACCAATACAACTAACGGTAAGTTCACTATTGATTAAACGATATTTAGACCTTGTCTAATCATACGTGGTAGGGTAATGTACACACAAAATACCAGCGTAAAATAGCAACTTAATGCTGCTGTGTTTAATATTGTGAATGTAGAGAACCGGAGACACTTTTTGCTAGATACGAAACATTGCATCTTAGTTTTCAGTGGCAACAACGCATCTACATTTTGATTCTTAATCGAGAATACGTAGATGTCTATGGGCCACAGTATCCACTTACCATCAGGTGAACTGTGAACTGGTGAACTGTTTGACATCCCTATTCTTTAAAAAAATTAATGATTCCACTAAAAAGGGAGATAATTAATGATTCCACTGTATTTTTCGAATATATGTTACGCAAATTCCATAAGTGGCCACGTTTGAATTTGAAGAAAAATTCCATCCCAAAGGGAAGTAGTGAAGAGGTTAAGGATCTGCTATAAATTTACATCTACAGTACACTAGCAACCAAAGTTCAATCTCTGGTACCATTGAAATTGTTAATGCAATTTTGAGTGCTGATTTACCACGTGCTGGAACCATAATATTGGTTGAGGTGTATATATGTGCGTGAATGTGTTCTTTCAATATAACATTATATAAGTTTTTTCATCACTTAATAAAGGTAGTGTACATCTGTATATTTCTTTATTAGTCTTTAACGCCTACAGTCTTAGATCACATCGATACCAATAAAATTTTAATCGCAATTTTAAGTGATCAGTAAATAAACTTCCGTTATCGGCAAAAAAAGAAAAAGAGGAAACATGGTGGAGTCACGCTACAGCTATATTATGGTTGTAGCAAGAATGGATCGGCTCGACCAGAGTGGGGCCATGCTTTTACAAAATACCAGCGTAAAATAGCAACTTAATAGTGCTCTGTTTCGTATTATGAGTATAAAGAACCTAAGACCCTTTTTACTGGAAACGAGGCATTCCATCTTAACCTTCAGAGGTGACAACACATATGCATTTTGATTCTTAGTTGAGAATAAATGTGGATGTCTATTATAGGCCACATCATACACTTACCATCAGATGGATTGTGTACTCGTTTGTCACCATATTCTATAAAAAAAACCTGCTTGTCTGAGGAATTAAAGTTAAAAAAAAACTGAATATATATAAATCCGTTAATTCATATTAGGATAGCACGACGTACTTTTCCGTGTTTCTAAAATCCCTTTCAAGTATGAGAGGAGACTTATGACCAGCAGTGGAATCCAAACCTACTACACTTTTTATAGTCATCATCATCATCATTATAGCCCTTTACAAGTCCACTGCTGAACATAGACCTCTCCTAAGGAATTCCACATGGGGGATGTTTGCCATGGTTGCCACGCTTAGAAGCAGGGTCGAAAGATGCTGTTTTCCATCCTTTGTCTCGATTTCGCTCTGTTGCCTCTTACGACATCCTCGGAATGATATGGGAGTATGGTATATGGTAGTGGATATTCTTCGGTGTACTTTTATAACTACCTACAGTATATTGAGTTAAACATTCCAAACTCTAACGCGTTATTTTTCCATAGCAACCTCAGAAAACTCGATCAATAATCGTATCCCTAACGCCTGTCCGGGAACGAGAGACATGGGCGAAGAAGGTAGAGTTCCTGCTCGCAGTCGTAGGGTTTGCCGTAGACCTGGGCAACGTTTGGCGATTCCCTTACATTTGCTATCAGAACGGCGGCGGTAAGTAAAATAGTATTTATTTTTGAAGTGAAACTTCTTTATCAGCGTAGTGGAGAAATTTTGTACGTTATTGAAAAAAACGTCTCGTTTACTTGTAACGTTTCACCGCCGGAGACCTTTATGATTTCAAAGCTTTATGAGGAGTCCATCCGAGTAGATATCACTGTCTTATTTACTTCTGGAGCCAAATGGCTGTGCTTCCTCTGCTGGGTTTCGGTCTGAAAGGAATAGAAACCCAGTATATTTACAGGCTGTGAACCATTCCATCTTAGTCCACAGAAGTGACAACGCATTTGTAACCTTATTTGTTTTAAGTTGTCAGATGTCTAAGAGCTGCAGTAACACTTACCATCAGGTGGCTGCAAGTTTGTTTATCTCTTTAATTTTATAGAAATAAAAAATGCTGTAATAATGACATATAATTCTATTTTCTTTAAAATTGAATGTAAGCACATATAGAATAAAACATACTATTTTTTAATATAGATTATTAACATACCGCTTATTGAAAGTCAATATTATTCCATTTTGAGGGGGTGTAACAAAATTGCTTCCTTTCATTTTCGTATAAGCTACATTCTTTCCTCCGTTCCGTGTTCAATTTACCAAAAATGTTATATTTTTTTGGTTGCACTCGGATTGCAATTTGTTAATTTATAAGTTGGCTGTCAGATATACGAGATGAGCAGCAGCACCTTCCTGATGCTAATTCACAATAATAATTAAAAAAAACTACGGTTACTAACTGTTACCTGCCTCTCATACGTGGCAGATATTGCTAGTTGTTAAAAACACCGATTTTATAGCTCTAGTCATTTCTACAAAAAACAATTTTGTTGCTATTTTGTTTTACATGATTTCAATGATGACGAAGTAGTAAGCACGGGTAGAAATTAGAAGTTAATAGCTAGCTATTAAGTTGTTGATTAGTTGCTAAATAACCAATTTTGTAGCTCAAACCGTTTGTACAAAAAACAAGTTACTGCTTTTTTGTAACCCATAATTTCAACGATATCTTCTGACTTTTTAATGCTTTTTGATTGAGCTGAACTTGACGAAATATGGTAGAAGAAACTATTATGGGTTACACAACTTAAGTCACCTGACTAGAAATGGACGAAATATAGACATATTATATATATATATTGTATTTACGAGGTACGCCAAACTGCAGTTTTATTAGGGTTGTAGCACGAATGGAACGGCTCGATCTAGTTAAGACCATGGTCTCACAGAATACCAGCGTATAATAGCAGCTCAGTGCTGATGTGTTTTATATTTTGAGTCTAGAGAACGAGAGACTCTTAATACCGGAAACGAGGCATTTCTTCTTGGTCCTCAAGGGTGACAACGCATCTGCGTTTTGATTCTTAATCGAGGGTAGATGTAGATGTCTATGAATCACAGCAACCTAAAACCAACCAGGTGAACTGTAAGTTCGTTTGTCGCTCTTATTCTATAAAAAATGAATATGAACTTCAGGTGTAATTAAATTAATTTAAATGAAATATGAATGTACTCCATCACAGGTGCCTTCTTGATCCCGTACTGTTTAATGCTGGTGTTTGGAGGGCTTCCTCTCTTCTACATGGAGCTAGCGCTGGGACAATATCACAGATGCGGCTGTCTCACGCTTTGGAAAAGAATCTGTCCCGCACTCAAAGGTACGTAATCTATACATTAATACGTGAATAGAAAACTTGATTTGACATAAATAGTTAAAGTTTATAGGTATAAGGAATGCAAGAAGCTAAAATGTATGTATAATATATATTAGAAATACATACAAATACTATTAATAAAATAAATATTATATGTAATTATCGTATTTATTTTTCATGTATTGTATGATCTTATTTTTATTTATAGTATTATTTAATATAATTTACGTTAAATTTTATATTTTATTTATTCATTAGTAGGTAATAGTACTACTGGGAGATGTTTCAGTAAATAATGGAATAAATAGAACCTTTGTACGAACTTACTATAAGACTTCTTCTGCATCTTTTTATGTATACATAAAAAAATCATAGAGTGTTTACGTTCACACTGCCGATGTAAATAGTAAAACACATAATAGTCTGTGGTCAATTGTGTGTGATTTGAAATGTTCCTTTTTCTATAGATTTATTAAGTTCATTGTGTGAGTTAGACCTATTATTCTTCTAGAAATCAAGCCGGAAGCTATTATAAAGCATTTAAATAAATAAAATAGTACGATTTTAAGCACAAACGTTTCATCGCCTGTGCTTTAAGTGATTGTTGTCAACCCTACATCCCACGGGAGCTCACGTTGTCGGCAAATACTTCGTATTCATTCCTCCGCTGATTGCCTAAGCGACGATATTAAAAGAACCGTTTGGGAAATCACTTCAATCGACAACAAACAATGCAAGTACGCATTTAATTAAATATTTATATTTCTAAATTTTGCCTTTTTTCTAATTTGGCAACATTCCCAATTTTATTTAATTTTCTATTCCTAATTTTTTTTTATAGAAGAGGGGGCAAACGAGCATGCGGCTCACCTGATGTTAAGTGATTACCGCCGCCCATGATCACCCCCAACGGGGAATTGCAGGTGCGTTGCCGGCCCTTTAGAAAGGAGTAAGCTCTTTTCTTGAACCCCAGGTCGTATCGGTCCGGAAAAATCGCCGGTGGTAAACTATTCCACAGAAAGGTTGTACGCGGAAGAAAACTCCTTTTGAAACGTACAGTGGTGGACCGCCAAGCATCCAGATGGTGTGGATGGTATCGGGACGTATGCCGCGTAGTAATTAGATTTACCATTCGTTATCACACCTATGCTCTAAGATGAGTTTCCTTTTTACTCATAACGAGTCACATAAGAGAGTCTTCGGTGGTCGACTCTCGCCATACGACACACAACAGCATTATGTGACAATAGTTTTAGTTTTAGTGGGTAATTTTTCGCAAGCATTGAAGCATGGACCTTCGCCGGTCGATTTATTGAAAGACATTCTAAATAGCTTCTTATATAGAATATTGATGACAAACGAGCACGCTGTCCACAGGATCGTAAGTAGATGCTGTGGCCCATAGACATCTTCATCTATCCTTGATTAAGGGGAAATATAATGTCAAATGGCTTAGCAAGATCCTTCGTTATGCCGAAAATATTGCAGCATTAATTTTGAAATAAATATATGGTAAAGTTGAGGATTAATGTTAATGATTATGTTAGACGAAAACACGACTTCGTAAAATTTTCTCGATAGAAAAAAATCCAAAGTTACCTCCAAAATAAACAATAAACCGCTGTTATTCATAAAATACTTTAAATAAGATCATGAAACTTTGCATACTAACTGAACTAACTATAAAGCAGTGCTTATGTTATTTACTTTTTTTAAAATACCATTATTTTCACTGTAAAAAGAAATTACCTAAACTATCGGCGTCTTGAGCTTGATTCCTGTCGTTCCGTTAGTATCGCTTAGGCTTTTGAAGGGAGAAGTTGTGTCGCTTACGATCAGAATATACATTACGCAACAGTACGACGTAAAATTAAAATGGGAAATAACCGTGATAAAAATAAGAAGCGGCTGGCTTGGCGTTAAGAAACAGGCATAAATATGATAAACCTAATGAAATAAGTGTCTAACGACCTTTCTACTTACAGTATTAGTGATTACAAACATGTCGGTACATAGCATAGCATAGAAATTAGAATTTGAGCTGACTTACTCTAACCTCTTAAGAATCAAAATGCAGATGCGTTGTCACTCCTAAAAACCAATAAGATGGAATGCCTCGTTTCTAGTAAAAAATGTCTCCGAAACTCTACATTAAATCTAAATTTATCTAAATCTTTATACGAAACACAGCAGCATTGAGCTGCTGCCAGTTTACGCTGGTATTGTGTGAGATCGTGGTCTTTTCCCGGTCCAGCCAGCCCATTCGTACTACAACCACGTACAAAATCAATTTCGTCAAAATATTTTTCAGTTTTATGTATAGGAATAAATCTTGATTGTCCTTTTAAACTGTGAAAAAAAGATAATAAAACAAAACAATACCTCCATGACGCCTTGGCATAGTAATGAGTTACGGAGCTGTGGTCCGCGGATTTCAATCCCGCACGGAACGAGTATTTATATGGCCTGCAAATAAATGTTCCGGGTCTGAATGTTTGTCCTTGTGAAATTTATGTATGTAAGCTGCTTTCAAATTATAAGAAAAATCCTTGTGCCCATAATCATATATAACATTTTAAAATAAAATGAAAAAGAATAGAAACGAGGGCCTAAGCCGGAATTAATATTCGCACTCAGAAAAATCAACCTATCATACAAGTATATGTAAGTAGCCTGTATCAATATCTACAGTGGGTGCCCATCCAGCGGCCATTACAACGCACGGCCTTTATAAATATACAGGAGGCAATGCTTTTAAGATAAGACAAATGGTGGCCACTCAGCGGATAGTGCTGCTTGTTAAAATGTATGAAATCCACGAGGAATCCAATTTGCGACGGTCGATTCACACTTGGCGGGAAAGGAACTGGAATGATGAATCCTTACAGATCATACAAGTGTTAAAAGGTTTTGAATTGGTCTTGCTGGTAGTTTTTTTTTTAAATAAGGGTGACAAACGAACACACAGTCTAGATGATGGTAAGTGGATGCTGTGGCTCATGGAAATCTATATCTATCTATTATCTTATCATAATTTTATACAATTGATTTTACGTCTTCATTATTTTTATTGGGGGACGAAGTATGAAATTTCCGTTTACGTTGAAAAATCCCAGCACTAATTCTTAATCGAAGATTGATGTAGATATCTATGGACGGCAACATTCACTCACCATCAGGTGGACAGTGGGCTCGTTTGTCACCCATGCTCTATAAAATAATATAAGAGTTTAAAAAAACTTAAACAACAAGTATTGATCACGAGCTTTATTTTATCCTGGTAATAACTGTCCAGGATAATAGGATAGTTTTTTTTTTATAAACTAATATTTTTAGTAATATTATTAATTAACATTACTTATGTTCCTTTTAACTATCCTGATATAATATTATAACGCTTGTGTTCGTTATTAAATTATGGTATTGTCGTCGGTCCTTGATATGAGTGCAAATTTTCAAGTCAATCGGTCGTCTACAAGTTGGTAAAAGTTACATTAAATGTTTCCGTTGTAGATGGATAGATACACGAGTACACGCTAGTAAACGTGTGTTAAAATAATAAGTTATAATTTAAAAAAAAACTTAAAGAAACACACTAAAGACGAAATTAATTTATTATATCCTAGTGATCCTCATCAGGATACTAGGATAAAGTTTCCTTTATATATAGATAGATAGATTGGTGGATAGATAGAGAGATACACGCGTAGCTAGTAAAAGCTTTAAAAACAAACGTACGCAAACTATTGTGAGTTACGCAGCATTGACTGAGAGCTGCCTCTGCTGCGTTTGAACCACATCGGAACCTATATTTGAAAATTATTTTAATTTTGGAGTACATATTTAACTGAAAAACTGAATTTAAGAAATATTGGATTGGCCCAGTGCAAAAAGTCCCCAAGTCCGTTTTTCTGTTTTAAAATTTTTACACATAAACTTTTATTTTGGTCCTTGAAACGATATTGTAAAAGGTTTAAAATGCGAACGGTTGACAAAGACAACAAGTTGTTGTTTAGAAAGTTCTTTAAAAATAATATCTGATAATCTAAAATATTTATTGTTGATGGAAGAAAAGTCCTAAAAATGTGTTTGGCCTTGAACAAAAGTTTTTGGACTTAATGATTTTCTGTTATACTTAGGGATTGTAGTAAAAAAATTAGGACTTAGATTTTTATTTCATTGTTATTGACCTGTGTAATATTAATTAGTAAAATAGCTCAAAGACACAAAACAAAGCTTTTATTTTTATCGATATGTACATTGCTTCCTTATAGAATATTAAGAATATTAAGAAGCTGAACTATAATACAAAATATTTTACTTACGTTAAAACATTTTTTTATTCTATAAAATACTAAATATGTGGGGACTTTTTTTGGGCATAGAGATTTGTTAAAATCCAATCACTAGACTGAGCTAATGATATTTTAAAAAACAGTACATAAGAATGTGTTAAACATTAAACAAAATAGATTAAACCATAGAAAATTAAGAACTTTATCCGGCTGTGTTGCTAGTGCATAAAATCCATAATTGGAGTTAGGGACTTCTTAAACTGGGCCATTTAATTGAAATATTTTTCTATTTAGAATATTAAAGTTTCTGCGTAAAATTTTTAATCATGATTCTGGGACCATTAGCCCAGTGCTTACCTAGCCCAATGGCAAGGGGTGATGTAACCGAAGATGATTAAGAAAAACTTCTTTACAGACACGTACCTTAAATTATATTAATCACAAATAAAGTTTGTAAATAAATAGTATTACAAATGATGAATGTAAATGTCCGAAAATAAGTTTGTAATAAAAATTAATTTACTTTTGGAAGTCATACATACTGCTTTTTTACTTTTCAGTAATTTCCTAGGTCAGGCTAGGGTCAGACAGTAAGCCCCGCGTGATCTGTTGGTCCAATATTTGTTATGCTCTTTGGTACGCTGCACCGAAGCCAGGCTATTCGATCTTGCACAAAAATTCGACAAACGTTTAAACATTGCCTGTACA